AAAAAAAAAAAACAGCCATCACTCTAGTGACAGGAATGACAGAAGCCATTTCCCACCCAGCCCTCTGCCAGGAAACCATCAGCCACAAGGGCTACCCACAAAGAAGCCTCATGGTCACCTAATCTCTCATTCTGTGCCTTCTGGCAATTCTGCTGGATGCCCAACTCTTGTGGGTACATGGAACCCTGGGATGAGCCGTATCTGCCCCTGACACCCAGTCAGAGTTCCGATCGGAGTCATTCCCTTGGGAAAAAAAGCTTCTGCAGCATCTGTCTCTGGCTTGTTGGAGGATACAGAGGAGGGTTCTTCCATTGATGGAGGACTGTGAAAAGTCTGGGGGAACAAGCCACCATTTCAGGTACCAAAGCAGTGGGTATGAATTAAGAAATAAGGGAATATACTTGTTTGACTACAAGCAGCTTCTCAGAGTCACAAGAATCTGCTAGAAGATTGGGGTTCAAACACCAGCATGACTTGACAGTATAAGTCCTATCAGTTCCACCTCCTGAATCTCAGATTCATCCTGCTCTGCTTCCCCCACCTCTTGCCTGGATACCTGCAGCCGAGGACAGGTGGGCTCTCTGCCGCCAATCCCAGATCCTCATGGCACCCAAAGCAATCTTTTTTCTAATTAAAAAAATATTATTATTTTTTTTGTAGAGACAAGATCTTGCTATGTTATCCAGGCCGATCTCAAACTTCTGGCCTCCAGAGATCTTCCTGCCTCAGCCTCCTGAGTAGCTGGGAACACAAGTGTGAACCACCACACCCAGCTCCTGGAATGCTCTTTCTGTTCTGCTTTATTTTTACTTTTTTTGAGTTGGGTCTTGCAATGTTGCCCGGGGTAGTCTCAAACCCCTGAACTCAGGTGGTCCTCCTGCCTTGGCCTTCTGAGGTGCTAGGATTACAAGCGTGAGCCTCTGTGCCCAGCCTCTTTTTGCTCTGTCCTTTTAAGTCCCAGCTTAAATGTCACTTTTCTTTTTTTTTTGAGTTGGAGTCTCACTGTGTCACCCAGACTGGAGTGCCGTGGCCGCTCCCGGCCACTACAGCCTCGACCTGCTGGGCTCTGGCAATCCTTCCGCCTCAGTCTTCCAAGTAGCTGAAACTACAGGCGCACGCTACCACGCCCAGCTAATTTTTGATTTATTGTAGAGATGAGGTCTCACCAAGTTGCCGAGGCGGGTCTCAAACCCGCAGGCTCAGGTAATCCACTCACCTCGGCCTCCCAAAGTGCTGGAATTACAGGCTGAGCCACCGAGCCCGGCCCTAAATGTCACTTTTCTCAGGGAGGTCTTCTCTGATACCCAGACCAGGTCAGCCCCACAAGTACTCCCACCACCACACTGCTCATATCACACCGTCTCACCACGTTTGTGACAACTTTCTCAGAGCCATCGTCACCATAAGACTAGAAGTGTGGCTTCTCTGTGACGTGGGTGCTCCCCCACAGCCACTATGCCCAGTGGGAATGCAATAAACTTGATATCTGACTTGTAGAAAGTGCTCTAGGCCGGGCACAGTGCCTCACACCTGTAATCCCAGCAATTTGGGAGGCCAAGGAAGGAGGACTACTTGAGCCCAGGAGTTCAAGACCCTCCTGGATAACATAGAAGGGGCCCCATTTCTACAAAAAATGTCAAAAAATTAGCCAGGCATGGTGGCATGCAGTCACAGCTAACTAGGAGGCTGATGCTGGAGGATGGCTTGAGCCCAAGGGGTCAAGGCTGCAGTAAGTCATGACTGCACCACTGTACTCCAGCCTGGGTGAAAGAAAGGGAAGAGAAGTGAGGGAAGGAAGGAAGGAAAAAAGGAAAGAAAGAGCTCCAGGATCTGGCAACACCAAGGCTGCTTTGTGTGTCAGGGCAGATGGTTGTGGACCTGATGCCCCACAGCCAGTGGTTCAAGGGAGGCAGGAAGGGAAAGACCAGTGGGGGAGTCCCTGGGGACCCAGGCTGGCACTCACATTTGTGACCCCACTCCGGTTCCGGGCCACTGTCTGGGATTTCAGCGTTGTCTGTTCCACCCGCTTACGAAGGGTCTCAAACTCATTCTGGGGGTCCAGGATGAGGAGGCAGGGGTACTCGGTGGCCCTCTGGAAGAAGGATATATCTGGACACAACCGCCTGTCAAACGGGAACAGGAAATAATTCTCTTACTCAGGGTGGAGATTCTGGTCATGCCATCAGTACTGTGCTACCAGGAGACCCCAAGTCCCCAAAGCACCATTTGTTTTTAACTATAACATTTTATTTTATTTTTATTTTTTTATTTATTTTTTTTGAGTTGGAGTCTCACTCTGTCGCCCAGGCTGAAGGGCAGTGGCCACTCCCGGCCATCGTAGCCTCGCCCTGCTGGGCTCCGGCGATCCTTCTACCTAAACCTTCCAAGTACCTGGAACTACAGGCGCGTGCTACCACGCCCGGCTAATTTTTTTTTATTTATTGTAGAGATGAGGTCTCACCAAGTTGCACAGGCAGATCTTGAACCCGCGGGGTTAGGCAGTCCACTCACCTCAGCCTCCCAAAGGTGCGGAATTACAGGCTGAGCCACCAAGCCTAGCTAACATTTTATTTTTTAAAAAATATATAGTTTTAGCCGGGCTTGGTGGCTCAGCCTGTAAAATCGCGCTTTGGGAGGCTGAGGTGAGTGGACTGCCTGACCCCGCGGGTTCGAGACCCGCCTGGGCAGCGAGACCTCATCTCTACAATAAATCAAAAAATCAGCTGGGCGTGGTAGCATGCACCTGTAGTTCCAGCTACTTGGAAGGCTGAGGCGGAAGGATCGCCGGAGCCCAGCAGGTGGAGGCTGCGTTGTCCGGGAGCGGCCACTGCACTCATCTGGGCAACAGAGTGAGACTCCAACTCAAAAAAATAATAATACTATAGTTTTGGCTGGGCTCGGTGGCTCAGCCTGTAATCCCATGCTTTGGGAGGCCGAGGTGAGTGAATTGCCTGAGCCTGCAGGGTCGAGACCAGCCTGGGCAACTTGGCAAGACTTCATCTCTACAACAAATAAAAAAAAAAAAATTAGCCCGGTGTGGTAGCGTGTGCCTGTAGTTCCAGGTACTTGGAAGGCTGAGGTGGAAGGATCGCTGAAATCCAGCAGGTCGAGGCTGCAGTGGGTGGGAGTGTGCCACTGCACTCCAGTCTGGGCAACAGAATGAGACCCAACTCAAAAAAAAAATGTGTGTGTGTGTGTGTGTGTGTGTGTGTGTGTGTGTGTGTGTGTATGGTTTTAACAAGGCAGTAGTCATTGTATATGTATATAAACACCCCCATGTTTTATGTGTATTCACAAATAGATTCGAACACTTTAATTTTAAAGTGTCTTTATGGTCATACAATCTAACTCATTTCTTAAACCACAAACATCTTTCCATGTCAAAAATATTGTTTGTTTGTTTGAGTCGGGATTTCACTCTATTGCCCAGGCTGGAGTGCAGTGGCAAGGCAGAGTAGAAGGAAAAAACAACCTGGGAGACAAGCTCTAGAAGATGAACATGTCTTAAAAATTTATCAACTGCAATTCACATACACTTTTCAGGCTTCTTATACTTAGTACACTGCAAACTTGCCCTCTAAAAACACTGCAGGACGTGCCGTAATCACTACCAGAACCCATCTTCCTGGGTTAAGACGCACTTTTTTTTTGACTTGGAGTCTCACTCTGTTGCCCAGGCAGGGGTGCACTGGCATACTCATGGCTACTACAGCCTCAATCTGTTGGGCTCAGGCAATCCTTCTGCCTCAACCTTCCAAGTAGCTGAGACTATAGACATGTGTGATCACGCCCAGTTAATTTTTTGGTTTACTGTAGAGATGAAGTCTCACCAAGTTGCCCAGGGTGATCTCGAACCCCTGAGCTCAGACAATCCTCACCCTCACCTCTCAAAGCGCTGGGATTACAGATGTGAGCCACCACACCTGGCCAAGACGTGCTTCTTGACTTAAACAAAGCCATCCATACACTTTCTGGCTAGAGGCTGCACCAACCCACCTGGGAGCAAAGGAGGCAGAGCCCCGCGTCTCCTGCAGCCCAGCTGGACCACCCTGGGGTTCAGTCCCCTGGGGTTATCTGAAGGTGCACCCAGGCAGAGAAGCAGCATCCAGGGTGGTGAGGGCAAGAAGGGCCTGCTTCCCAGGCCACGGGATGCTCTCACATGCTGTTCCTCAGTCCAGCAGGCTCTTCCAGCCAGCTCTGCCGCACTACTTCTTCCTCTCTTTTCACGTCTCACATGAACCACCTCCAGAGAGCAACTTGCCCTGACCCCCAATAAAAAATAGGGCTTTTTCTTGTTCTCTCAGAGCTCATTTCTCCTTTCTTCGCAGCACTCATAGTATTTGCTCAAGTCTTTGTTTTCAGGTTTAACATCTGTCTCCTCACTTAAATTGGAAGCTCCAAGGGCAGAGAGCCTTCTGGGCTTGCTCTCCAAACCTCTACTCCCACGGGCACTTAGCAATTCACTGGGAAGCAGCTGGATGAAGGCACCCTGGGCCTGTGCTGGTGCAGATGGAATCAGGCAACCAAGCGCTGCCCCGGCAATGCCCAAGGGTCATCATGTAGGACACAGAGGAGCCGGCTTGTCCTGCCTGACCAGGGACAGTGCCTGAGGACGAGGCAGGCTGCTGTACTAGGACCGGAGGAGCCCCAGGACGCTTCTCTACTGGACATCTGATGACTATAAGGGCCTCTGCCCTGTGCTTGGACTCGCACAACAGACCTAAAACTCTGCCCATGGAGACCAGGCCTTCCCCCAAACCATCTTCCTCCTGCTTCAGAGTACTGCTCAGAGCGCCTGAGTTGCCTGCCCAAGGTCACACAGCTAACAAGTGCTCAGGGTGGAACTGAAACCAGGAGGAGAGACTCGAGAACCCAAGCTCTTGGCCACTCCGCTGTCGTGCAGACGAAGCCTTCTTTCTGGCTCCTCATCCGGCCTCCTGGGAGACCCCACAAACTGTCAGACTCCCGGACCCAATGGAGGGGTAGAGCCAGCACTTCCACATTTCCCTACCAAATGGGAAAGCACACTCGCACTGTAGCCCACAACTTTAAAAATACCTATCTGACCCTGTCACTCCCTTGCTCAAAACCTCTGCTGACTGCTCCATGCCGCTGGGATAGAGTCCAAGGTCCGCCCAATTCTTCCTCTCCTTCCGCCTTTCCCACTGCTCCTTGAACTGCTGAGCTCCCTGGGCTCTCTGGGAACTCTGAGGCAGTTCCCTCCATTTTCCTTACTGGCCTCCCACTCAGATCTCGACGCTGCTCCCTTGGGGAGCTTCCCTGAACCCCTGAATTTCTCCTTCAGGGCATTTTCTACGAATGCTAGTTTGCACATCAGCTCTAATGGGCTGAATGCCTGTCTCACCCTCTGGGTCCCGAGCTCCTTTAGGACAAAGACCATGTCTGCCTACTCAGGCGCTCAACCCTGAGCCCAGCACTGAGCCTGGTGCACAGTAGGGGCTCAATGTTTGTGGAATAAATGATGAGATGAATCCGAAAACGCCCGGAGTATGAATGAAACTACGGCCTGCTTAGCCGGGCTCGGTGGCTCAGCCTGTAATCCTGCGCCTTGGGAGGCTGAGATGAGTGGATTGCCTGAGCCCGTGGGTTTGAGACCCGCCTGGGC